TGTGTGTGTGTGTGTGTGTGTGTGTGTGTGTGTGTGTGTGTGTGTGTGTGTGTGCGTGTGTGTGTGTGTGTTTGTGAGAAAGAGAGAGAATGGCTAACAGAGTTGACAGAAGAAAGCCAAGCAATGTGTGACTTTGTTGAGTAAAACCAGAACAAACTTCAGTGCTTCAAAACCCAGTTTCCAGTGATCATTTATAATGTTATTTGCTTAAAAAAAACAAATGTTCAGCAAGAAAATGTAAAGTAGCTGCTTGTTTTAAAAACATCTCAGTTACAGAAAATACCACTGAATTGTATCTAAACCAAAACATCTATTCTTTGTTACAAATTATGACCTGTAATCTGGCGACAGTAGCTCAGTCTTTAGGGACTTGGGACTGGAACCAGATAGTCAATGGGCTTGTAGCTAGAGAGGTGGCAGTTCACGTCCTACACAACGCTGAGGTGCCCTTGAATAAGACATTAAGACCCTCAACTGATCAAGCGCTCTTTTAATATCTATTTTTCATACGCAGCCCCTCGTTCGTACATCTCTTTAATAGTGAATGACATGCCCATAGACTTCTGTTTGTGCAGGAGTGTGTATTTTGGCCTATGTGTTTAGAAGAACAAGAGTAAAAAAAACAAAATTCCCCTTGGGGATTAATAAAGTATATCTTCTTCTTCATATGAACAACATAGGTGCGTTATGAAAAACACCCCTTTGTTTAGATGATTTGCTTAAAAAAAGCAAAGATGTCAAACCAGTAATGATGGCTTGCTGCTCTCAGATTTCCAAACTATATGTCTTAAAGTATGAGGTTAACTTCATTTAGCTATACTATATTTACACTTATCATTATAGTTCAGAATGCCAACTCATGTACACACATACAGAGTATGTGCAGAGAGATCTTATTTCCCTTACCCCCTACTTCCCACAGGCAAAAATCTCAGCATTGCAATATTTAAAAGATAATAAACACCCTAAAGGTATACACAGAGATGGCAGGTGTTGTTGATGAAATTCTATATTAGCATCAAAAGGTTGCAGCAGTGTTGTATCACAGTGTGCCGATGAGCAATGATACCACAGCACAGTAGACTACAACTTTAACTGTATGCTGAATCCACAGGCCAAAATAAATCCTTGAGGCAGCCAATATCTACCAACATGTGCACTTAAACTCTCATGAAACCATTATATGAAGCAATCAATGCACTGTTATACAAAGTCTTCTATAGCATTTTTAGAAAATGAAAAATACGGGACCACACAGCCATAGCAGGCACATAATCTCATTGCTTCAAGATGAACTATTTTCGAATGCTTAGATGACAATACTAAAGACTTAAAACACTGTTAACTGTCAGCCCAACCAGTGTGTAATTAACACAGCTGTAGAAGCCTGTATCTAAAATAATAATAAGAAAATAATAGCCTGTCATTCAAAATCTAATTAAGAGATCCAAAAAGACTGTTGACAACCAGGTTTGCTGTGAGACAGTGGTTAGCCTCCAACCACTGTCTCAGCAAACATGTCACGCACCAAGCCTGAACATCCATAAAACTATTACAGATTTTCTTATTCAGCCTCCTGCAAACTTCATCATGGATTCACCAGCATTTGGGCCATTTAATAATAACATAGCCTGAAGGCATAGTTGGCTACAGTCGAAAGAGTAACATCCAAAACAATCTCTGCATGTTTAAAATGAAATTCACCATTAAAAAAGCAGCTAGCAGGAGGAAAAATTAACATTAACAAATGCACAGCCAACAGCCTCATGGTTCAAAAGCCAACAAAAACTTACTGAACAGAGCCAAGATATTTGCTTATAAATGACATGTTGCACCCATGGTTAACACCGAAGAGCTGTTACCTTGGAGAAGTGATTCAGGTGAGGATGCTTATCTTCTTGTAGAGCCATTTGTGATGCAATAGCCAGGAAACCTAGCAGAAGAAAACATGAAGTAAATACATTATTTATTGACAAATTGTTCCATAAATAACTGTTGACATGCTAATGATTTGATGGGCTAACAAGCTGTTGCTCCTCCTTGTGCTGTTATCAAAGATGTGTGGGTGTCAGACTACATTCGTGTTGTTTTATGATTGAATAAAATAGACTGCAAATTCGTTATATATAGCCTAACGATAAAAATAGCGGACGAAGGTAAATGTTTGAAGGCAAGAAACTTGTTATAAATAGTTTTTGGCTTTTATAGGTTGTAATATATTTGTGCCTTTACACATATTATTATAAATTTGGTTAGTTCTGACCAATAAAACACTCCCTATTATCGGTAAAGAAGCTGTGTTGTTTCTAAATTACAGCCTTAAGTTCCTAAAGACAACACTTCCCAACTAACCAAACCCGGGAAATTCGAGCTCCAAGGATCACGTGTTACACTTCCTGGTATCTCTCAGTGGAGTTCAATCTGGGAAGATGTTCAAACCTTTGGGTTTGGAGAATAAAATGATCATTAAGGATTTTTGGTAGATAAATTATGCCCAATTGTACAGTGTAAATACTGCAATTTAACTGTTATGTACTTAATCCATAAATCACATATTTACACTTTGCAAAGTAAAAATGATTACAGGTATGGAGGCGCTTGTGGCTGCAACCAGCTGGGCAAACATAGTGTAGAATCTACACTGTAGATGACTTATTTACTAACCTGTGATCAGCTAATGGCCCCAAAAAGCACTGGACCCTCCCTCTGCAGCTCTGGAACCACACTGATTATCACTGCAGTACTGATAAATGTACAGTATACAGATGTAAGTAGGTGGTCTGAAGGAAATATTATAATGATAATTATAATAAACAGGTGGATGAAGCATCTCTTCTTTAAGATGAACATTAAAGAGAAGGGGGGGGGGGTGCAGATACACAGCTGATGCTGACCTTTAGTTTGCTGCTGTTTCTACACATACATCTTAGTAATAAGATTTTGGCAAACTCTCGGTAGAAAAAGTGCCCAATAAAAACACACTTTATTAATCATTAATTTATTTTTATTTTTTACTGTCACACAACATGTTGTGTGTGTGGGGTGGCAGCTTTAATGGCTTTGATGGATAGAAATCATCCTTGGCAACTAAAACATCTGTTAGACTCATAACCTGGTGACCTGTAATGAAATGAAATGTAATATCTGGAAAGGAACACTATTTGTCCCAGCCTTATTTACCTAATCTGATTTAAAATTATGTCTATGTATGAAAACAACAATTTTTTTTCTTGGAAAGCCATGAGAAGATGTAGAAATCAAAATAGTAAATTAAAGCGTAAAAGAAGCGCAGGAATAACCTGTAAAACTATAATCTTTCAAAGACAGAATGAGGTAACAACTGATGAAAGGCTGCTAGGATGTTTCTCTGTAACAGCACGAGGCTGATTATCAGCATGAGTTATTTTTAAAAAGAAAGATGTATTAATTTTTGCAAAACTTTATCAAAGAAACTACGTTAAAGAGTAAAACAACAAAAATATACTCACCCGTATCACAAATATTGCTTCGAAAATCATAGGCCTATACCTACCCAAAACCTCTTAAAACTCAACTCCAGAGCACTGACTCACAGAGCACCCACCACAGCCCTGGACCCCTCTCTCCCACTCAATCCACTCTTTTCTTGTCTGCCATCAGGTCAGAGATACAGAACCCTGACCTGGAAGAGGGCACGCTTCAAGAAGAGCTTTGTCACCCTCAGCGATTGAAGCCCTAAACAAGCTTCCATGCTGACTGGTCCCTTATTTGCTGTGTGTTTTCTACCTGCTGTTAAACATTTTCTTCATGTGTACAAAGCTGTGAGAACAAATTTTCTCCTGGGGGACAATAAAGTATTGTATTGTAAAACACCTTAAACGGTAAGAAGGTAGATTTTAAAACAAATCATCAGCTGCATAAAGCTACATAATACACAAAAGCCACAAGACAGCGTCTGCCAAAAGATAGTCCTGTGCGACATTGACATGAACAATTAAACATTTTTGAAAACACCACACAGTGTTGGCTTGCAGCACAAAAAAGCATAATTTGGCATTCTAAATATGAACTGCATGTTTAAAACACAACCATATACAATACAATATCACCTCCTCAAAGGTGAACAAAATCTAAACATGCAACTACATAAAGTACCACATGAGGGCAGAAGAGATCCATAATTGATTCAATGATGTTTCATTTTATGGCATGTTTAACTTGCAGTGTGTTTGACAATCCTGTTACAACTCAGACAGCAGCTGACTTTGGGCACAACAACATATTTGCCTCTGATGATATACATTTAGCATTATAGTCTGTCTATGAGTCTGTGACCATTTGATAACTGTCAAGCCATTGTTTTAGAGCCTCTAAAACCTAAATCAGTGCTTCTTGCTTCAGACCTTCTTTTTTTAAATTTCAGAATCACAAAACAATTATTTGTCAGTTTCAATGTGAGGAGGATACAGCCAACATTTCCTTTTGCTTGCAACCAAACCATTACAAAAAAGAAGGTACAGAGAAGAATGAACTGCACGATCCACAAGAACAGAGTCATATTCATTACGTTTTGAAAGATCTTGTGTTTGAAACAGAAAGTGCTTCTTTGTGAGCAAACCTTCAATCTAATAATGTAAGAACTGTTCAATGATCTTATTAATGTCAAGGGCAGTTCCCTCTTTTGTGAACAGCTTATGGGGAGATATTATAAAATCGTGTGTGATTCTTCTGTGTTTTCAACTCTGCTTTTTGAGAATGACTGTCTCTTAATCTTTAACTCCTTCCTGCAGGTCTCTCTTCATGATCTTCATCATACAAGCACCACAGCTGAAAGTTCTTCAACAGATGTTGCAAACGTTGAGCTTGTCACCTGTGCCATGTCTAAGGACTTAAGTCCACCTGCACAAGAATGTTTGTGCTTTATATTTCCTCACATTCTAAGTACTTTTGACGGTCCTTAGGTATGACATGTATAATTACACTTTTTCTCCTCATGTTCAAATAATCTGCATACAAACTCCTTATCAGAATCAGAAATACTTTATTAATCCCAGAGTGAAATTGCGTAAACTGAACAGAAGTCCACTGATATGATTAACAGTTTCAAAATGTAAACTAAAGCTGTTTTTAATGAATAAGGAAGATATTGACAAGCATCAATGTTAAAACCACTCCATTTAAAGAAAAAAAATCAATAAAGATTGATTTAAGATTGTTAAAATACAACTTCAATACATTCAATGAGAGTGCGTTAAAGAAAAACTACTTCAGACAGTAGCACTTTAAAAAGCAAAATTCATACCCATAAATCACACCTTCAGGTATTTAGACACAAAAGGCACTCCTTTCCTCTTTAGACTAATTAAGCTCAATAAAATACAAAAATAATTTTAGTTATGTCAGCACGTCTGTGTATCTAAAATAATCAGTAAAATGTGGAGATAACGGATAGGGTTCAAGTAGATACCCTGTATCAGAGTTTTTCTTACCATGTAGATTTTTCTAAAAAATAAATCAGAACCATACTTGTCCAGAAATAAAGCTTTTGACGAATCTCTTTAAAAAACCTTTTCACTGACTTATAACTTGCAGCACAAATTAAAATCCAAGACAATGCCATTAAAAAGATTGCCCAAAGAGACAACAAGAAGACAGAGCTAACTGTTTTGCAATTTTTAACATGCTTTTCATCGAACCGTTTAAGACACTAAAAGAGAAATACATTCATCAACGTCAACTTTTTGTCTAAAACCCTTAATCATGAAGGTACTATTGTAATATACGGTACTGCATTCAAGAGCCTCAGATAAGGTCGTGTTAAGACTTTAAAAAAACAGGAAACTCAATTATATCTGCCTATAGGCAATTTGCCTTAATCCAGGGAAGTGAAAAACATGAAAGCCCACGATCAAGGTCATTACTTGATTTTGTAAAACAAACAATGTACACCCACCCATGAACCTAAAAGTTTATCAATAATACTAATCAGAAGACACTTAAATACATTTCATTATGTGCTGTGTCCAATACAATCAACAGACATTTTCTTAAAATGTCCCCTTTAAGATAATACTTGATCCTAGTAAAAAAAATGAAAGTTATTCACAGAGCTTCTCAGCCCTAAACCTTTAGGAGTAGCGAGGAGGACTTACGAGAATTGTATTTTTATTGCCGTGGTATCAGAACAGGTTAACGTTATTGCTTGATTTTTAATAGGGCCCGACCAATATGGAGTTTTTGGGGCCAAAATTAGGGAGAAAATCATCCAATACCAATACATTGGCCGATATCTTTCTTAGATCTATCTTCAATCCATAGAGATAGATATACACATTAACATGTTGATCCCTCAAATGCAGTTATCAAACACAACTTGAAAGTAACTGTGCATGTACTTGCATCACCACTTGACACTCTGGAGAGTGATAATGTTGTATCCATAGAGTACACTTTTCTGGTGACAGCCAGAAAGAGAAATTCTAGTTTAATACAACGACATTCAACTAAAATGCTATTTGACTGGATTAATACATTTACAAATATCAGCGCATATCTGCGATAAAATTAGCCGATACAGATAGTCCTTTGATAGGCTAATATTGGCCGATATTATCGACTTTATACTTAAGTGCATGAGGAGCTTTGTTCCTCACTTCTGTGGAAGTCTCTGTGTCTGCTGTGTTTTATCCATGTGGTGAATTGTTCTCCACAAGTCTTGCATTTGTAACGCTTCTCCCCAGTGTGCGTTTTCATGTGTACTTTCGCGTCCGTTTTAAGACCAAACGCCTTGTCACACACACTGCACTTGTACGGCTTTTCCCCTGTGTGAATCCTGATGTGCCTTGTCAAAGTGGTCCTTGTAGCGAACTCGTTCTTGCAAACGGAGCACTTGAAGGGCTTCTCTCCCGTGTGCACGCGCAGGTGGTTCTTGAAGGACGAAACGCTTGCGAACCTCTTTCCGCAGTCGTTGCAGCAGTACGGCTTCTCACCGGTGTGAATCCTGATGTGTTTCTTCAAATTCACGCCCGAGGTGAAGTTTCTATCGCAGACATTGCAGTTGTACGGCTTTTCCCCGGTGTGTACCCGAACATGCAGGTCGAGGTTGTATTGCCGGTTGAATCCTTTTCCACAGACGTCGCAATTGAAAGGCTTATCAACAGTGTGGATCACTGTGTGTTTATTTAAATCCCAACTCTCCCTGAACATTTTCCCACAAATGTCGCATTTGTACGTCTTCTCCACTGTGTGTGATTTCATGTGGAATTTGTAGTTTTTGAAATTACTCATCACTTTACCACACCTGTCACACTTGAAAGGATTATCATCGTTGTCGACACTACCATCAGATGAGTTTGTATCTTTCTTCTTCGGTGGTGGGTCAGCGCTTTTACTCGATGTTGCGATCCCATCGTCCTGTGTCTCGTCTGGGGTTGATGCCTTTGATTTCGTCGACGTTGTCTCTGGTGGGGTTGATGCCTTTGATTTCGTCGACGTTGTCTCTGGTGGGGTTGATGCCTTTGATTTCGTAGACGTTGTCTCTGGTTGGGTTGATGCCTTTGATTTCGTAGACGTTGTCTCTGGTTGGGTTGATGCCTTTGATTTCGTAGACGTTGTCTCTGGTTGGGTTGATGCCTTTGATTTCGTAGACGTTGTCTCTGGTGGGGTTGATGCCTTTGATTTCGTAGACGTTGTCTCTGGTTGGGTTGATGCCTTTGATTTCGTAGACGTTGTCTCTGGTGGGGTTGATGCCTTTGATTTCGTAGACGTTGTCTCTGGTTGGGTTGATGCCTTTGATTTCGTAGACGTTGTCTCTGGTGGGGTTGATGCCTTTGATTTCGTAGACGTTGTCTCTGGTGGGGTTGATGCCTTTGATTTCGTAGACCTTGTCTCTGGTGGGGTTGATGCCTTTGATTTCGTAGCCGTTGTTGCTACATTGTTAGCTTCCTTATTTCCTGTTGACTCTTTACTCGTGCTTGACGTCGTGCTCCCATCATTTGGTTTCTTGCTTTGTGCAGTCTTAGTCCTTGTTGAAGTTCTTTTTCCATCACTGCTTTTCTTATTTGTGCTTTGTTTTGTTCTTTTGGCTGATGTTGGCTCAACAATTTCAACAGAAGAAGTTTTCACACTATTGCGTCTCTTCGTAGGTGCTGGTGTTGTACTTGTCTTCTCATCGTTACTCTTCTTCTTTAATGTTTCACTTGACATTTTTCTCCCATCGGAGCTTTTCTCCTTCAGTGTTGGCTTACTCTTTCTTTTTAATATTCCTTTCTCAACATTCCTTTCCCCGTTCAGTTTACTTTCAGTTCCTTCACTTGTTGTTGATGTCTTTTCAGTGCCTTTTTTAATTGTTGTTTGTTCACTACTTTTAGCTGTTGCTGTGCTCCTTTTGTAGCTTTTACTGGCTGGCATTACCTCAGAACTGTCATTTGATGTCGTGGTCTCTTCGGCACATTTCTTCTTTGATATTGTTTCAGTACTTTTACTTGAAGTTGGGTCCTCAACATTATGGCTCTCATTCAATATAAGCTCAGAACTTACTGTCAATGTTGTACTTCCATCGGCTGATGATGTGGCCTTAGTTTGTGCTGGCTCAGACTCTCCATGTGATGTTGTATTCCCATTGTTACATTTCTTATGTTGTGTTGTTTCAGTACTTGCAGCTGATGTTTGATTCTCACTACTGAGTTTTATATTCGGTGTCAGCTCAGTTCTCAGTACTTCTTCCTCTTTCTTTGGCGTTTTCTCATCATCTCTTTTTAAAGTTGGGTTTTCATCTCCTAGCTCTATGCCTTGAGCTGATGTTGTGGACGTATGATGATCTCTACAGTTGGGTATTGTTCCACACTTGCAGCGGATGTTGTGTGTCCCTCATTTCTGCTTTTGTTTGATGTTGACTCAATGTGTCTAACTGTTGTTACACATTCAGGGATACAAGTTACATGATCTTGGACCCCAGCTTCTCTAGAGTTGTGAGACAGGACCTGCTGGTCACTGGTCGGAGCAGAAACAGTAGAACTTTCCCCGACAGATTCAGAAGTTACATCTTTGTTTGAGACACTGCATTGTGGATCTTTATTTGCTGCACTTCGGTTGGGGTCCGACGGCTGAGAGTGTTTCCTGTGGATGCTTTCCTCACAGGCTGGGGTGGAGTTAGGGGCATCATCCTCCCTATGCTGTGCAAGCTGCTCTTTTTGCGGAGTGACGCACATTTCCTCGTGTTCCTCTTTCACCTGTGGCGGATCGGGTGGCTTTGAACTGGAGTTTGTCTCATTATTCCAGACTTCCTGTTTGCTTAGGTGAACCTCCTCCTCCTTATTGACACATATCTGTGTGAGCTCTAAAGGGAGAAGAAGAACACAACAACATGGTGTAAGCCTTAATTAACCATAACCAGTTTTGACATACACACAATACAATAACAAAACATACTTAAATGTATTTCAAATTGACAAAGAGAGGATAGTATTTGGCTTGGATATAGTGGAGTATAACTTAGTATAAAGATGCATACATTGGAAATGCTAAATCAATGTAAAGCTACCTCAAACGTGTAAGCAAAACACCATGCTTGAGTCAACGCACAGTCATACATCCTCACACCTTTCTATTCAACCAGTTGCAAGGCAGAGCGCTACCGCAGGTCGTTCATCCCATCTGCTATCAGACTGTTTAATCACTTTTTAACAGCATCACCACATCATGACTCATATCAATAATACTACACACTGTGTGTTTTTTTAATAACAATAACTCTTTCCAGTGTAGTTACTGTGTAATTTTCCATTATTGTATTTTTTTTTATTTAACTGATGTAAATATGTTTGATTTGATTTTTAATTTTTAATAATTATATTCCCGTCCCCTGTTTTCTGGAGCTGCTGTAATGCACAAATGTCCGCCACGGGGGCTCAATAAAGTTTATCTTTATCTTTGACAGGGAGAAGTCATGCGTGTGTTCATGCCCAATAGAGTCAGGGCCAAAGTACAGCAGATGGCCTACTTCCGCATGCGATGTGGTGTCGACTGTAAACGTTAATCTTTGTTAGCATCTAGCAACAACTTAGTACATTTAACTGTAGATAATGAGATTTAAACATCACGCTCGCTTATAGTGACATGATACGATCATCTATTGATACAGTCTATGATCGATACCAAGAATCCCTCAAACCTGCCTCACTGGTCTGACTGTAAAGTTACACAGCTAATCATGTAGTAGTAATAATGCAACGCCAAATAGCGTGGTCTTACACAAAACTTTTGAATGTACCAACCTGCCCGATGTAACTTTATCTCAGGGGTTAAGATTGACTCCAAAAGTCTGCGTTGACGAGCGATTTCCGCCTCGTACGTTTCTGTATTCTTTTCAAAGGCTCCCAGTATCTCTTGAGCAGCCGCAGTTAGTCGATCACAGACAAACTGTCTCATACTTTGGACCGAGGACATTGTCGCATTAAGAATGATTCCCTCTCTCTTGCTAAAACTTCGTATAGCCGAGTAGCTATTTGTGATAGCTTGACTCGCTTGACTCTGTTTACTGTTTACTTCCGCCTATGCTGCATTCACATGCTGCATTCACGTGCTCCTCGGATGATCCCAACTCTTGGGGCGTTTCCACCAAATAGTCTGTTTTGGTTCAGTACCGTTTGGTATTGTCTGGTTTGGTAAACCCTGATCTTGCTTTGTGTTTCCACATTTTACCGTAGAGACAGTAGTATTTCTTCCAGTAGGTCTATTTATAGCAGGGGTGCCCAAACAGTCGATCGCGATCGACAGGTAGATCGATGACTGATTCTCAGTCGTTCGAGATGTTTAGTCAATATAAAATACAATTGTAAAATAGAAAAGTGATTTCCATTTCATCTCATTGCACTGTTTCCCACACACGATACCTGTGTTGGGAGCCCAAGTATACTTCCGACCTGTGTGTATTTTATTTTTCATTTATTCATGAAATTGCTGCGTGCATGAGAGAGCGAGCGAGAGAGAGAAAGCGCGCAAGAGAGAGAGTGCAGGCATGCGCAAGGACGTGCAGGTAAAACCGGGGGGGTAAATGTTTTACCAAAAAGTCATATAAAGAAACTATGCAACGAGTATTAAGCGCATTTGATGAAGCTGCAGCTACTTTTCTCTGCTCCTCTCTGCTGTCATGACTGTGAGCATCGCGGGGGACGAGACACACCAACAAACAGCGCAAACGCACACACACACACACACACACACACACACACACACGCACACACTTGCACTGGAGCGCCAGCCACCACGCGAACTTTTTTACTTTTTACTTTTAGTGCTACAGCACACAGTTGATCCGTGATCCGTACGGACCGAGGCGGGAACACACGTGACCCGGTCAAACAGTCGGTTGGACTTTACTCCGTTCACTCTCACCGTGTCTGCAGCTAATTTAACAAAAGCAACATCATCTCACAGCAGCCTGCTGTAGTCTGTGAACATCTCCACACAGATTAAAGTTGTTTGTTGTAAACTAAATTAAGGGAAAAACATATGTGATATAAATACAAACGTAATATTAAAATGTAGCCTACCCTAAAATAAGAGTTTAAAAAATTTGCATTATTTTTTACAGAACTCTCATTTATTATATCTGAAATTATTTTCTGTTTGTTGTGTGAGTATTAAATGCATTTGGAGGCTGTCGGTAAAGGCTACGGCTCACTATGTGGACTGGTAGGTCTCTGCAGACTGGCAACTTTAAAAGTAGATCTTGGTTAAAAAAGGTTGGGCACCCCTGATTTATAGTGTTGAAATTGTAATTTGTACTTTGCGCTACACATTCCCTCATTTACTGGACTTATACTTATTGTCAGGGTACATTTTAATAAAATCACTTTAAAAACTAATTGAGGTCACTCTGTGGAAATGAACCATCAGTTACAAGTTGATATTGTACAAATCACAAGTGAGCAAAACTTTGATAAGAAACATATTTAATAATAAAAATATTCAATTAACATGTAATTTTCAGCTCTGTATTTAGACTTTTATTAAATCAGCCAATGTAAGCAACATTTGACCTATGATTGATATGTGTGCATGTCATATACTTCAATTAGAAATTGTTGTTTTACTAAACCGTGCTGTTAACCATGGTGTTTGGTATAAAACATTAATGTTACACCACCGAACACGAGTCCTTGTGTGCAATAAACGTGTTATTCATGCTGAATGCTGCAAAGTATTGTTTCACTTTAAACCCTTAGCAAAGGGCAACCGGTACCTTTGATATCTTAATCAAGTAAAAATCATAATAAAATAAATCTTCAGTCCATAGCACAAATGATTCAAAATAAATGTTGCATGTTGTGCTATAACACATAAAAGATATTGTTTAATTCCAAGAATTTTGTTTGATATAAAAACATCAATGTTATACCATGCAACAGTCCTGGTGTGCCTGTGGCTGAACTACTAGTACATCAATAAATAAATAAAAAATGTGCAGCTGTTGTTACATCCTGCAGCATTGTATTTGTCACTATCATTTCCTGCACAATCTCCTACTTCCCACCTCATTGATGTAAAGACATGTGCTTCTTTAAGTTTGAACAGGTGGTAAAAGCCTTTTCGCACATCTTGCATTGATACGGTTTTTCACCTGTGTGGGTTCTGTAGTGGACTTTCAAGGTTGTACTGACATTAAATCTTTTCCCACACAAACCACACTCATAGGGCTTCTCCCCTGTGTGCACGCGGAGATGCCTTGTTAGCGATGAGTTGAAAACAAACCCCTTGTTGCAGTACATGCAGCAGAAAAGCTTTTCCCCTGTGTGAATTTTCATGTGCAGTTTCAATTTTGAATTCATTTTGAAACTTTTCCCACAAATGCAGCACATGTACTGCTCCACTCCTGTTGGAAAATGCTGGTCCACATTTACGTCTGCGTCAGTTTTTTGAAATTCAGATTGTATCCATTCATCTGAATAAGTGGACTGCGGTTCTTGCTCTGTAATATTTGGAGTTTGATGAGGATCCAACAGCAGAGTCCCATCTTCACTGGGGTTGCTCCCCTCACGAGCTGGACTAAACTTAAAGGCCTCTGTATCCTGGTGCAGTGCAAATAGCTCTTTCTCATTACAGGTAGAGACTTCTTCCTCTTCCTGTTTAATCTGAAGCTCTGGATCTGCTTGGTCCAGACAGGTGCTACTCTCGAGGTCAAGAAGAACCCTCTCCTCTCCAATTGGTGGCTGTGGGACATCTGGAGGCAAGGACAAAGTGTGTACTCTTTAGTTTCAGGATCTTAATACAACCACACATTTCTAAGAGGCCAAAAGAATGACCTCCATCATTACTATAGCTAACCATGCTGTTCGGTATTGTGACACATCTGGACTGGGTTTGACCTAGGCAGTGCGCACTCTAGGTGCTATGTTTGTTTGTAGAAACAAAATACAGAATATGTAAGACCAAATCAGTGGTCATGCTATTTTATCTACCCGGATAACATGGAAGCTACATTTCTGTGTTACTACAATTATTAGTCTGTAGGACAGCGTGGTCATAACTGTTGTTATTGCAGATACAATCTATCGATGGTATTTAGGAACATTTCTTATCCAAAGCATCAATAATCAACTTTTTTTCTTTTTTCTTTTTTTTTAAACCAAAATGTTACACACCTGTCCGTTGTAGTTTAATGTCTGGTTTTAGGACGGCATCTAAAAGTCTGCGCTGACGGACGATCTCCTCTTGGTATACAAATAAAGTTTTTTCAAATACTCCGAATATTTCTTGAGCTGCAACTGTCAGTCTCTCGCTCACAAAACTTTTCAAACAATTTACTGAGGCCAACTCCATTGTGTAAATAAACTTCACAGGTTGAGGTGTACTAGCTGAACCAGGCTCGTCGTCTTCTTCTACAACTGCTAGGTCCTGTTATTTTCTTTCATGGCGACTGGCAGACATCGTGAAAGCGCCTTACAGCCCCCTACTGGTGTGGAGGAGGACAAAGGCAAAATACATTACATTTTATAAGAAATTAATGCATAGTTATCTCTTATCCCTCAAGTCGTTTTCTTTATAAATACTTAAAAATAATAATTTACATATATGTGAACTTAGTCCAATAAATTAAAGTATAACTCATATCAGATATCAAACAGTTCCCTTACAATTAATAAAGAAAACTGTTATGTAAAAAAACACTTTCGTTAACTGAAACTAAAATAAAAACAACAACAAAAAAAAACTACGTGAAACTGTATTTTATTTACAAAACTAACTAAAATAAAATTATAGAGAAAATGTCATTAGTTGTAGTCCTTGAAACTCGCACACTGAGTGACACAGCTATCTTGACACTTGACACTGCAGTTTGCATTTTCAATTTCGGATGAGCTTGCTGACTGCAGAAGTCAGAAGTTGTCTCCTTTACTTGCACTATATTTTATAGGGTATTTTTAAATAAGTTACCTGATACCTCTCTCTGAAACATTTACAATACAAAGACAAAAACCAAATCTGAGACAAAACCTTGTAAAAAATAAATAAACTAAAACTAAGCATTTCCACACACACATTTAAAACTAATAGTAAAAACATAATAAAATAAAACGTATGACGGATTGGAAATTATTATAACGCTGCTAGATACAATGTTAATCTGATTTTGGAAGAAACAAAAACACACCTGGGTATCTTCTTTCACTTTGGATCGACTATTATCGGCCAGTCAAAAGGTGACCGAGGTTACAAAATGTCTTGTATGGAGAGTACAGCATATGTCTTCTTCTCTTACACATTTAGATTACCTGGCACAGCATGTGCTCTCATTTGTTCAGTTTTAGCAGACAGCTGCTCAACATGAGTCAGGTTCTGCCTCTTACATACAGTTTTTCCTTGCCAGTTTTACTTTGCTAAATGCTTAGTGCTGTGCTCATTGCGGGTTAATGTTGAGTCTTTGTAAATAATATAAAAAAGAAAAGGTCTACAGCTGCTCTTTTCCTAAAAGATTGATTAATTGATATATGTGAAAATAAATCTCTCTAAAACCTTCTTCAATTTACATAAAGAAATCGTAACAGCAACATTTATTTTCAGACATTTTATTGTCTCAGGGATCAGTTTTTCACAGGAAAGCAGTCAAAGTAAAGAATGTATCTCAAAACCATTGCACAAATCCTCACGGCATAGTTAATAATTTACTCCTCACTCTGTAAGGTGTTTGACTTCTCCGTGAAGGGAGATTCCGGAGATTTAGCTTTAACTTAAACTGAAGCAGTTCCCATCATTGCTGCGAATACAAGGCTACGGAGCACAGTTTGCCTAACAGTTCAGTTGGACCCCATGTACAGAGGCTATAGTCCTCCAAGTGGAAAGCACAGGTTCAAGACCAGCCTGTGGTTCCTCTCCCGTACGTCTTTCCGCCCACTCGCTCACTGGTTTCAAACTCAACTGTCCAATAAAGACAAAAAGCCAAAAAAAAGACATCTTTCAAAAAAAAAATAATAACCACAAGGCTACTTAACTAAGTGCAATACTGTGTGCTTTGCCAGCTGAGATGCATCAAAATATCTTTTACCACAGGTGTTACAAAGGTAAGGCTTCTCACCAGTGTGGGCTCTTCTCGTGTGGACTAGCAAGTCGCCTGTATACCTGAAAGCTCTCCCACATGTGTCACAGGTATACGGCTTTTCACCCGTGTGGATTCTTAGATGCCTTTTTAAGTCTGGCATTCGAGAGAACCTTTTCCCACAGCTGTTGCAGGGGAACGGCTTCTCGCCCGTGTGAATTTTCATATGGTTCTTCACGAGACAGTTAAGCAGAAAACCTTTCCCGCATATTTCGCACGAGTACGGCTTCTCACCTGTGTGGATTCTCATGTGCCTATTTAGGTCCGGCATCCGAGAAAATCTCTTCCCACAGGTGCTGCAGGGGTACGGCCTTTCGCCCGTGTGGATTCTGAGGTGGCTATCCATACTTGACTTCTGCTTAAAAGCTTTTCCGCATGTGTCACATTTGAAAGGTGTTGTACTTGTGTGAGTAATACAATTAGAATATGACGCGGTTGAGTTGTAAACACTATCACCGTTGCTTTCATGACACATATTCTGTGGCTCTGACTCTGTGCTTTCAGGTGTCTGATCGTAGATTTCAGTCACATGAGAGGTGTGAAAGAGCGGCTGGCGGTCACTTTTCTTCTCTGGTTCATTGTGGTCACTTTCCTCATGAGCAGGAGTCCACTTTAACGCATCGGTCATCTCCTTCAGTTCAAGCTGCTCTCCCTCCTGACTGGTGCTGAGTTCCTCCTGCTCCTCTTTAATCTGTGGAGGCTCTGGGTCCTCTTGGTCCAGACTGGAGTTCCTCTCCTGGTTACAGAGCAGCTGGTCTGTGAGAACCTCCTCCTCCTCCTCCTCCTCCTCCTCCTCCTTACAGACATGTTGCTGTGGGAGCTCTGCAGGGCCAGACACAAGCGACACAACTACATCATGCATAAATCAAATCGCAATAATATGCACTGAAAACTTGAGATTTACACACCTTCACGGAGTAATTCGATGTCAGGTTTACAAGCGTCGTTAAACAATCTGCGATGACGGTCGATCTCTCCCTCGTACTCGACGATCGTTTTTTCTATGACTCCGAATATTTCTTCCGCAGCCACGATTAGTCGCTCGTTGATAAACTCTCTCAGGTATTGAACTGAAGACATGTTTGCTGTTGGCAAAATAAATATATTGATCCACAGTAAAACTACAGAATCATCCCCTCGTGATCCCAATCGCTTGTATTGTTTACATCCGCTTGGTGTCTTCTTCTTACCTTGATTTGATTGGCTGTTGGTGGAATACCGCCCCCTCCTGGACCTGTCTGCTGAACGTCACCCTGATACATTAAATTACTTTGGGCTGGATATAAATTATAAAGACAACAATTTCTCCTTTTGCTTGCTCACACACGTATAAAGGGACAGAAAATACATTAATACTGTGTTTCTAAAGACAGAAACGCAACTTCAGTCCCGGTAAGTGTTTTGTATCTATTTAGGAACTATTGTTAAACTTTAGCTTGTTGTAGTCATGTTGTTTTTGGTTAGTGAGAAGAGGGAAAAGGAGGAACACATAGTTGGGGTGGTTAGGAGTAGAAACAACAAAGAGTCATCAGTGTCTCACTGCTTTTGTTTGCATGTGGGACAGTGACTGCTTCATCTGTACACAACGGTCCAGCTGCTGTAGGGACGGTGTGTTTTACACTCATTAACAAGTTCAACATTATAAACTTCAGTCTGTTTTACACAATGAGGCTGAGCAGATTGATTATAAAAAGAGAACTTTTATTGTGTAATTAGACTTTGATAAAGACCCCTGGCTATCTAGCTTCAGCTCTTTCAAAGGCTTAATCATGCCCCGTGCGTAAGCAGACAGAATGATAAAGGGACATAGTCGCTTAACTGTGTTAGAACAGGACTAGTGTTGCACACTTGTACATCCAAGCGTGCATCGGTTTTTATTATAATTATTTTTTATTCCAAGTACACACGTGTATCACAAACATGATGTAACTCAAACATGATGCACTGCTTGTGATTCTTACTCAAACAATCATACAAAATATTCTGCACACTATTAGACACAGTTAGGAACCACAAATAAACCTCCGAAAATATTACAGGTGCCTTAGTACATGAATATATATTTCTATATGACTGAACTGAAGATAATAGGGGGGGGGGGGCATATCTGGTGACTTCAACATTGTCACCAGATATGCAAGCGGTTGTGTTAAAGAGGAGACGTTTGATAAAGTGTGACTGATGTGAAAACTTGTGCTGGGAATGTTTGGTTGTCTCACAATTTCGATTCGATTCAGAATCTTTTTTTGATTAAAGACAATTCTGGATTCATTGATCCACGGATTCTATTTTGGAGTTAGTACATACTTCAGGATCTACTCCAATCATCTGAGAGACTTGCTGAATTTCTTGCTGCTCCATTTGGCATTCTACTCAGTAGAAGCTTTAGCAGTAGCTCAGTCTGTAGGAACTTGGGTTGGGAACTTGAGGGTCGCCGGCTCCAGTCCTGGTGTGGACGATGTCTGGAAATTGGTCTGGTAGCTGGAGAGGTGCCAGTCCACTGCCGAGGTGCCCTTCAGCAAGGCACCGAACCCACCTACCAGCTCAGGAGCGCCCACTGTAGGCAGCCCCCTCACTCTGACATCTCTCCATTAGCGTATGTTCATAGGATCCTGTTTGTGCGTTTGTGTATTTCAATGTGTGTGATGCATTTTCAATATCACAGTATAAAACTGAATTTCCCATCACAGGATTCATAAAATATAAATTATTATATTATGAAAAGGGATAGGAGGAACAATCCGATTCCCCCACAACTCAACTAAATAAACAATCATGACAATTTGTTAGAATCCAAAAGAAATCTATTGTGGCGCAGATGACCTAGTGGTTAGGTCATGACCCCTCTACAGAGGCTATAGTCCGCCAAGTGGGCGGCCCAGGTTCAAGTCCAGCTAGTGGCTCCTTTTGCTTGCTCACACACATGTATAAAGGAACAGAAAATCCAGGAATACTATGGAATAATACAAGAGTTTGACTTCCATTAAATCAGGGTAAGAGTGTTTTTTATTCTGTATTGTGTTGGTAAGAGATTATGGGCAGTAGCCTTTCTGTTCTCATCATTAACCCTGATTAGATTTGTTGTTACACTGATGAACACACAGCATATATTCTGCCCCTGACTTAAATTGAAAATTATCTCATGGAAAAGGTGAAGTAACACTTTTTGACAAACAAGTTCAAGGTTTCTGACTTCCATGTAGACTGAGCCGCACAACTTGCCGGACTTCAAGGATCTACGTTGACATCTTGGTGCCAGATACCTCAGCACACCTTTACAGCTCAAGTGAAGTCCATGTCTCAACAGATTACGGCAGTTTTGACCACGACCTGACGAGACTCTTGAGTACACAACATTAGGCAGGTGGTCCCAATGTTAGGGCTGATCCATGGAATTGTGGAGTCTCATCATGTGGTCTTTCAAGCTTTTTTTATCTCGCAAAGATTTGCCACAGATCGTGCACTGAAACGGCTTTTCCCCAGTGTGAATTCGCATGTGAGTCATTAAATCGTGCCTCAGAAAAAATCCTTTTCCACAGGTGAGACAGGAGTGCGGCTTCTCACCTGTGTGTCTTCTCACGTGGTTTAAATAGTTACCTCTTGCATTGAAAGATTTGCTGCATATTTTGCAAGTGTACGGCTTCTCTCCTGTATGAATTCTCATGTGGTTGAGCCACCCGTCCCTTCGCATGAATCCTTTTCCACAGGAGGAGCAGGAGTACAGATACTCACCTGTGTGTGTCCTCATGTGAGCCGTCATTTCCCCCTTTAACCTGAAAGATCTGCTGCATTTTTCGCAAGGAAATGGCTTTTCACCAGTATGAGTTCTGAAGTGTGTTGTCAGCTGTGACTTCAGAAAGAAACCTTTCCCACATGTTTTGCAGGAGTGAGGCTTTGCACCCGCGTGGGTTGACATGTGGCCTTTCAAACTACAATCACTGCTGAAACTTTTCCCACATATTTTGCAAGTGTGTGGCTTCTCTCCTGCATGAATTCCCATGTGGGTGAGCCACCCGTCCCTTCTAATGAATCCTATTCCACAGGAGGAGCAGGAGTACAGATACTCACCTGTGTGTGTCCTCGTGTGAGCGGTCAATTCACCTTTTAATCTGAAAGATCTGCTGCATTTTTCACAAGGAAAAGGCTTTTCACATGTGTGGATTTTTGCATGTGTTTCCAGTAAACTTTTAAAACTGAATATTTTACCACAAGTTTTGCATGTGTGCGTCTTCTTACCGGAGTGAACTCGCATGTGTGTCTGTAACCCTGAGTTGTTCTTAAAAGCTTCCCCACATACGTCACAATCGAGGACCTTTGTGCCTGTGTGAGGATTACATTCAGTCCCTATCAAATTTCTACTTGACACAGTGTCTGCCTGCTTGTTGTGAATCGTTGATATTTTAGATTTGTTAGTTCTTCTTTTGGCTCTTTTTTCGGGGGATTTCGATTTCCCAGTTGATATTAAGTCTCCAGGCTTGACTCTCTGGTTCTCAGAAACTTGAGAGTTGTGACAGAGGAGCTGGTTGTCCCCGTCTGGTTCTGCATCACTGTGGTCACTTTCCTCATAAGGAGGAATCCCCAAGGATGTTTCAGCCTCCTGCTTCAGTTCAAGCTGCTCTCCCTCCTGACTGGTGCTGAGTTCCTCCTGCTCCTCTTTAATCTGTGGAGGCTCTGGGTCCTCTTGGTCCAGACTGGAGTTCCTCTCCTGGGTACAGAGCAGCTGGTCTGTGAGAACCTCCTCCTCCTCCTCCTCCTGACAGACATGTTGCTGTGGGAGCTCTGCAGGGGGGACAAAGAACAGAAGTATTAAGATACTACTGAGAGGGGAGAGAAAAGGCAGATTAGAGTCTGTACACATTTTTAAACAGAGCTCTTTTTAAAAAAAAATGTTGGTAGAACAAACCTATTCTGTGTAAGCATATTTGAGGTTTCAAAACGTCACCCAGCAGTCTGCACTGACGGTCGATCTCTTCCTCGTACTCGACCATAGTTGTTTTAAAAACTCTGAATATTTCCTCAGCAGCAGCAGTCAGACGCTCGTTGACAAACTCTCTCAAACAATCCACGGATGCCATTGTTTTTGTGTTACAGGTTGTTTTTCCAAAAGGTAAGGTGCGACCAGAGAAGATTTTTCAAACATCTAACCCCATTCAAAAGAGCCACTGGTGCTTTAATTATGTATTTCCGCTGTGTGTCCCACTATTAAGTACCGACAGTGAACGTGCTGTAGTATTTTTTTTTTTTTTTTTTTTTTGGTTCCGTCTTCTTTTTTGTTTAGATTGGCGGATGGCATACCAGCCTTAAGGCGCATTACCGCCACCTATCGGGCAGGAAACATGCAATAGTAAACAAATTCTATTTACAGGATCCGACCTGGTAAGTTATAAACCTTTTGAATGATAAGTGTGTTACAGTATATGTCCCATCTTCAAGTCTCATCATCATCATCATCATCATCTCTTTTGTTTTTGTGTGGATTCTCCAACAGATTCTAGCACTAATCTAAGAGTTTTAAGGAATGGCCCTGCAGCCATCTGGCCAAAATAAGAAGGGTCGAAGTGTCCCTTCAAAAGACACACAAGTCCTCAGTCAGACTGGTCCAGACTGGAGTTGTTGTGATTATTGTAAGTGAAACAGAGAGTGTGGCATTGTGTAGATCTGAATCTATTCCTTCTTACTTTTTTTTTTTACTTAGAGGGCTATACTGTACAAATAACTGTTGCTACAGGAGTGTGGCTTCACACCTGCTACAGATAACATGACAGTGGTGGAAGTTTCAGACTGTTCAAGTAAAAAAAAAAATCTATCAGGGAAATTATTTGTGTATTCATTAAGTTTGCAAATTAAACAAACATCACTACAGTGAAAATGGGATGTGTAAAGTAAGACATGTAAAATAGTTGATTTTGGACATTTTCTTTTAATGAAATAAGTTATATGATCTGATTATTCTATGCTTCCCCCCCCGCCCCCAACACATACTGCTTAATCAGGGCAAGCATTGTTACTACATATACAAACAGGGGTCCAAAATACTATCCATTTGGTAGGTTTGACTAAACTTAAAGGAATCCTCCAGAATGTACCGTTTCTCGTTGAAAATGTAATTACGTTCAATGAAATATTCTACATTATCCCAGGTTTGCAGAAATATAAGCCTATTTGCCTGCATGCAGCTTCATATGCTTTGCCAAATCAGAAGAAGCAAAGAACCGTTTTCCACAGATCTTACAAATGCACGGCTTCTCCCGATTGTGAACTCTTCTCATATGCATCCCTAAATCACTACTGATTCTAAAACTTCTGCCACACGTTTCGCAAGAATACGGCTTTTCACCTGTATGAATTCTCACATGCCTAGTCAGCTCAGCTTTCCGACAGAACGATTTCCCACAGGTGCTACAGTTGTACGGTCTCTCACCCGTATGCATCCTCATGTGGATTGTCAGTTCACCGTTATGTCTGAAATCTCTCCCGCATGTTTTGCATGTATACGGTTTCTCCCCCGTGTGGGTCCTCATGTGGACTAACAACACTCCGCTTAATCGGAAATCTTTTCCGCATATTTTGCAGGAATATGGCCTCTCACCTGTGTGGACATTCACGTGTGTCTGCAACCTTGACTTATACTTAAACGTTTTCCCACATGTGTCACAGCTGTTACATTTTTTCTCTGAGCGAGGATTGATCTGAAAATGTGGCACGTTCGGGATGTACACATTGTTGCAGTGACCGTTGTTTTGGCAATGTCTTTTCGTTGGTTCACTGTTGTCGCAATCTTCACGAGTCGGAGTCCCCAAGGATGTTTCATCCTCCTGCTTCAGTTCAAGCTGCTCTCCCTCCTGACTGGTGCTGAGTTCCTCCTGCTCCTCTTTAATCTGTGGAGGCTCTGGGTCCTCTTGGTCCAGACTGGAGTTCCTCTCCTGGTTACAGAGCAGCTGGTCAGAGAGAACCTCCACCTCCTTACAGACATGTTGCTGTGGGAGCTCTGTGGAGGGGGGGGGGGGGGGGGGGCACAGATATATTATGAATAGTAGGCGTATGAACTGCGACAGGCTGATAACGTTACTGATCAGAAATGCAGACAATACCGATGGATTCAGACAATCACTGAAACAAATTGTGTAAATAGTTCATGGAAGTTGCACAAACCTATTCTGTGCAGCTTTATCTCGGGATTTAAAACGACACCCAGCAGTCTGCGCTGACGGTCGATCTCTTCTTCATACTCGACGATAGTTCTTTTAAAAACTCTGAATATTTCCTCAGCAGCAGCGGTCAGACGCTCGTTCACAAAACCCCGCAAACACTCAACAGAAGACATTTTTGCTTCATGCGTAAATGTCAAAAAAAAAATATTGTTAGAAGCATCAACTAACACATGGTCTGAGACAGTTCCTTACCTAGAGCTTTTTTTTTTTTTTTCAACACTTTTAATAGGCAGCGCCTGCATTGTGTACTTCCTGTTCTTGTGAAACTCCGACAGGGAAAATGAGTTAGACTTTCGTTCCGTTTTCAAAAATAAACTTCTTTCATTGCTTCATTTTATTGACACCATAATTAAACAACTTATATTGGTATTAAACCAAAGATTTCCAAAGGTCACTTATCAAGATGCCACATTTTGTCAAAAAAAAAAAGATTTCCAAAGGTCACTTTAAAAAACAAATAAAACAAATAAATGCAGACACAGTTTATGGTGGGGTTACAGGTTTACAAGACCTGATGTGTTACAAGCTAAAGTTTTGAACTAATGCAAACTCTGTATGAGGACATTATTCACAGCTATCAACGAATAAAAGTATTTACTCACACTTTGGAAGTGCTGAGATTTCTGTGGACTTTAAAAAGCAATCTTCAACACCCTGAGGACCCTCAAGATGTAGGCTACTTAGTTACATGACTTGAGAACATGTAGTTACAATCAAACATTGCATTGGTAGGCCTACTTGATGATAAACCAAATTATATCACTAACTACTGTAACTCAAAACCCCCAAAAAGTCATTATTTTTGGTATTCTGACTTCTGATTTCAGTCACTCTGGTGGGCTGCAATAATGAGGAGAATTTACTTGTACTTTCTTTTTTACTTCATCGAGCTTTGATGTGTGTAAATAAACGAAACAGACAGTATGATGTATACTCCGCTCCAGTAGATGGTGGTAGTTTACCTACAAGCTCTTTTCCTTTTTTTTTTTCTTTTTTTCATTTCATTTATTTTTAACAAACGTCGTTTATCTACAAAATAAGAAGACTACCCACCGGAAGTAAATATACGACGAGTTGCTGTCCTGGACCTGTCGTGTAACTTGCATGAATACACTGCTGATGTTTAGTCCATTTGAAAACCATCGTTACACCTTTATTATATTCTAATAAAAAAAATGTCTTCTGTTGAGTGTTTGCGGGGTTTTGTCAACGAGCGGCTGACCGCTGCTGCTGAGGAAATATTCGGAGCTTTTAAAAGAACTATCGTCGAGTATGAAGAAGAGATCGACCGTCAGCGCAGACTGCTGAATATCATTTGGAAACCCGAAATAAATATAGCAGGGATAGGTGGGGAAAAAAACTCTTGACAACAACAGCAAACGTCATTTGATTTATATATACTCCCAGTTGTTAAGGTACCACTTGCTTTCATGTCCACTTTCTTATGATTAAAGTAGGCTCGTATCATTTTGTTTTGTGTCCCCTCCAGAGCTCCCACAGCAACATGTCTGTAAGGAGGAGGAGGAGGAGGAGGTTCTCTCTGACCAGCTGCTCTGTAACCAGGAGAGGAACTCCAGTCTGGACCAAGAGGACCCAGAGCCTCCACAGATTAAAGAGGAGCAGGAGGAACTCAGCACCAGTCAGGAGGGAGAGCAGCTTGAACTGAAACAGGAGATTGATAGCTTCATATACACCCCTACTTACGAGGGAAGTATCGACAGTAATCCAGAGGCGAAAAGTGACCCCCAGTTCCTCTCTCACAATTGTCACGTACTTTACAGCCAAGATCAACAGCGAGGCAGGCCTGAAGTCTCAGGATCGACTGAAAATGCAGAGTCACCGTCGGGGACTAAATACCACTCACATGAAAGTGACAATGACAATGTAAATAACTCCAACTGGTCAGAGACGCACTGTGACAATCAAACGGTTAGAAGTGAGTTTAAATGTGACACATGTGGAAGAGTTTTTAAGTATATTTCACTTTTGCAGAGACACATGAGCATCCACACAGGTGAGAGGCCGTTCTCATGCAAAACATGTGGGAAAGATTTTAGACTGAAAGGCTCCTTGAAAGTCCACATGAGAATTCACACAGGTGAGAAGCCGTACATCTGCAAAACCTGCGGGAAGGGATTCAGCGACGTGTCGATGTTCAGAAAACATGCAAAAATCCACCTGGGTGAGATGCCGTACGTTTGCACGACATGCGAGAAAAGATTCTCGAACATTTCCTTTTTGAAAAGCCACATGCGAGACCACACAGGTGAGAAGCCATACACCTGTGACACGTGTGGAAGGGCGTTCCGGTTCGTGTCACTTTTGCAGAGACACGTGAGCATTCACACGGGGGAGAGACCGTACAACTGTACCATTTGTGGGAAAAAGTTCCGACTCGACGGTGCCTTGAAAGTCCACATGAGAATCCACACAGGCGAGAAGCCGTACCTTTGCAAAACCTGCGGGAAAAGATTCAGCGACGTGTCATTTTATAAAAAACACACAAGAATCCACACAGGCGAGAAGCCGTACGTGTGCAAGACCTGCGAGAAGGGATTCTTCAGCATGTCAGCTTTGAAGATCCACATCAGAAGCCACACTGGCGAGAAGCCGTTTGTCTGTGAGACGTGCGGGAGAGCGTTCAGCTTTAATGAAAACCTGATAGTGCACGTGAGAAGAGCTCACACTGGGGAAAAGCCCTTCCTTTGCAACATCTGTGGGAAAGGACACTTTCGTAATTGTGACCTGAAAAGCCACATGAGAACCCACATAGGTGAGAATTCGCTAACTCGCATAATTACTGAAAACGAATGAGAACGCTGCTTCTCATACCCACAGTATGTGGGGCACGATTCAGCGTGGGGTTTGAGCGAGGAGCCACTTAAATGCAGAAATTGTGGGAAAGGATTTCTTCTTCAAATCCTTAAAAAAAAACAAAAAACACCTGAATGACAATATGAACAGCTGAGTCTCTTTGAAGATTTTTTTACATTCTCTTAAGAAAGCTTAAGAAAGCATCTTCTCGTCAAATCTGAAGTGTTTGCCATATTCTGTGATTGGTCTGTTTCTTCCTCTAGCCTTCTCTACATTTTCTCAGACTTACTTGTATATATACCAGCAGCATTTTTACAAGATACTTAACATTCTCCATATTCAAAGGAAAGAGTTAGTTTCAAAGTGAGTGCAGACTAATTGCTTGTGCCAAATGTCTTTTAATTAGAAATGTTTTCTTCTTCTAAGCTTCAATTATGTAACATCCATGTACCTTACACAGTATTTTAGAGAACACTATACGAGGCCTGTAGCATAATACAGTAAGTACACTTGAGAGACCCTGACATCAATGTTTTGAGGAAAAAAAGTCCAACTAAATGCAGGTCCTTGTTTGTTCAGGTTTTGTACACTTCTACATATATATGTCTGGAAAGTCTATGTAGGAAGACAAATATGTTCAGAAATAAAGAGACTTAAACATACACACTGGTGAGAGGCTGTTTATTTGAGTTCAGTTCGATGAAGGCCACAGAGAAGTCTCAGGTGTAACTCTACCACTGCAGCACAGAGGTTCCAGTTACAATCTCAAGGTTCAGTAAATGGTTAATTGAACAGTTTTGAAAATGTGTTTGTCTCTGTTTTCATACCTCATGCCGTGTTCAAACAACATTATTCATCAGACTACTGTCGTCATTATTTCCTGGGACTTTTTTTATTTCACAGAAAGGTCAAAAGCGCACAAATAAAGACATATTCACATGCATTTGGATGGTTATATCTTTGACGTGTTTTTTAAACAATATGAATTACTATAATAGATTTTTCAGGTAATGTGGAATTACTCATTTATATTTGTTTATTTATATATGTGTGGTCCGCATATTTGATATTCTTCTGTGTTCTTAGATGCTTTTTAAAATTGTTCCTGAAATGATGATGCTAATATTGCCTTTGAATTGATCTGATTGCGTAGCAGTGATTGTGGTTCTATGTAAACTACTGCTTTCATATCAACAGGTCAACTTTAAATAATGTTTTGTTTTCCATAAGAGATGAGTCGTATGGTTAGTGAAGACAAAGGTAAAGGTTCATAGACAGGAATTAAGACTAAAAAGGTTAAATAGCAACTGATTTGTAATTAGATTTTAGTGTGGAAGTGCTTTTATTATATTTTTTACCCAAGTTAACTTTGAATCACTCACTCTGCTGAACACTGGTTGGAGGGCCCCCCAATTGAATTCTGCCTATGGGCCCTAACAGGCTCTAGAATCGCCACTGTCCATAGGCTGTCTTGGGAGCTTATGGAGAGGTTTTACTCAAATCATGGCTCACTAAAGAGATGAGACACCATTGAGCCGACACTCCAGCAGAAATACTTTCACCACCTGTATGACTGACACATTTGCAGCAGTGTTTTCTGTGTAACTACTGTACGTAGAAAATGTTAACCTAAATAATGACATATAATGCCAAAGTGGGAAGTTTACCTTAAGAGGACTAAAGTGTTTGTATTTCTGTCTGGAACAATCCCTTAAATGAAGGTAAAAAATGTTAGTTTAGTGAAACAGTGTTTTGCCCCTTTTACATTTGCACTCCTGAAAATGTGTAGAAAATGTCAGGACAGCTTGCATCTTACATTTTCCAAAGATGCCCCCATTTTCTGATGCTTTACAGACATCGAGTTACAAATAAAGAAAAACATCAATAAAGAAAAGCTGAAGTTAAGCTGTTCAAATCTTTACACAGAAATAAAAAAACAATTTCTGTTTCATTTCCTAAGTATTGTTATTTATAACCTTCTTATCATGAGAAGTGTACTCATACCAAATAATTAATGATACAAAAATGTACAAATATATAAAAAAAAAGACATATATACACAGAAATGTGCAGATATGTATATTTATTGAATGGCAAAAATCTTCTGGGACTTGTCTATTTAACAGAAACAAAACCTGTGCGTTTCCCCCCTCCAAGTGTTTCATTTTATTTTTTCACAACGTGGATATTTTATTTTGAAAGTCTCGTCTGTGGTTCTGGCTCTTTAATGCTACAACATCTCTTTGCTATTATTTGAGATTAATTTACAGTAACTGGCAACTACTTTGACAATCAATCGATTTTAAGGCATTTACGAAGCAATATTCTCACAAATTTGGCATCGAGTAAGTTGATCAGACTGATAACATGTATCAATATTTCAAGAAGGCACATTTACATTCAACAGAGCTTCCTCTGCATTTAGATATGATTGTTGTCAGCCATGTCAATTGTAAAATCTGACTTCCTGCAAAGATGTTTTAGAGGCTTCATACGACTTGCAAAGAGTATTGACGAACACGTGTTTTGAATACCTATAACATTTAAAACTAAAACGATTACAAGATCAATAATAAATAGAGATTAAGCAAACCATCAACCACCAAAACATTACACTACTTAGTTTGACAGACATTATTTGCACTCAATATAAAAAACCTAAAATGTCCATTTATTAATGAAACTCTGATTGTCATAGAAATACTCTTTAAAAGAAATCCATACTGCTACAGTCATATGGAGAGAAACTTTACATTTACATGATGCACATTCATTCAGAAAGATATTGCAAATGTAAAAAGTGTATTCCAGTTCATGAACATGTGTCTACAGGAGTTACTGCTCAGTTGTCATGTAGAGGCATCAGACATATATTGACAGTTTCGGTTCCTCATAGATTATTCTATCATAGATATTCAAAAAATCCTCATAGAAGTTTAAACAACTAGGATTATATTTGTGATATAAAAGTATGTCATTGTGATATGTATTGGCATGGCCAAAAAAATCATCTAGATCAAACCATCACTTAAAGAGACACTGCTTTGTTATCCAGTTGACTAATATTTTCAATGATTGCCCAGAAATGCAATTTTGTAAAAATGAGTATATGAAATACACGAGATGAAGATTAGTGAACATTGACGCTAGAATATTGACATTTCAGTTAATATAGTAAACATTTTACATTAATTACAAAGTTGCAGATTTTGTAAAAGTGCATCTCAGTCAGAAGGTGATCATGTAACCACAGGAGTTTCAGCTTTCCTGTTTATAGTGATTATTTAAAGGTGACATATGATCCTCCTCTTCAACCAGTTAAAATAAGTCTCAGAGCTCCCCAAAACATGTCTGTGAAGTTTCTTCTTATAAATCCACTCTGATCCTGTATTTGATCAGGTCTATAAATCCCCCTAAATTTCACATATGCACTCCGGACAATATCTAGATAATTACAGAAGAACCGCTCCGGTGATTTTAACATGTGACGCTTTAGTGTGTTTTTTGTGTTCTTATGTGCTGTCCTGTAAATATTTAGATTGTGTTTTTTTTATGCTCTGTGCAAAGCAAATTCCCCTAGGGGCAATAAAGGTTTCATTCATTCATGTGCAGTTGAATGACCCCTGCTGGCGCGTGCTGTGCACTACAACTCCTCGCCTCAACATGTTACGCTGTATTTGCGTCAGTTTCACAGAAAAAGTAGCGTTTGTATATTCGACGGCATTAAAAGTCATACCGTTGGGATTTCTAAATACCGTGGTATACCTTAATACCACCCAAGCCTAATTTGTAGACAATCTAGGGACACATATTAGTGTTAGGAAATCATGGTAAAGTGTATTTTGCATAATATATGACCTTGAAAATATGTTCATTGAAAACACCAGAGTAAAACTTTTCACACTAGTGCCGCATTCATGAGGTTCATGTCTGTGAGTTTGTACAGTATGTGTTTGAGCAGTGAAACAGGGGAAGTAAATAGTTCCACACATGTTCAACAATTGCAAAGCCTTTATGTGATTGTGTATGCTATGCCAGTTGAAGTGCAGGAAGATTACTTCTTCCGCAGCCGCTTCAGGGGGGATTGATTCTAAGCCGTGTGGGTTTTCGTGTGATTCACCAAGGAATTCATGTGTCTGAAATCTTTCCCGCATGTCTTGCAGACAAACGGCCTCTCCTCCGAATGCGTCCTCATGTGAACTGTCAGGTAACTGTTATGTCGGAAAGCTCTCCCACATGTCTGGCAGACAAACGGCTTCTCCCCCGTGTGAATGCTCATGTGCCTCCTCAAAACGGACAGGTCGCTAAAACTTTTACCGCAGGTCTTGCAAAGGTGCGGCTTCTCGCCTGTGTGGGTTCTCATGTGGACTTTCAAAACGCACCGGAGTCGGAAATCTTTCCCACATACTCTACAGGTGAACGGCTTCTCCCCCGTGTGGATGCTCGCGTGCGTTTTCAACACTGAAAGGTCGCTGAATCCTTTACCGCATGTCTTGCAGAGGTGTGGCTTCTCACCTGTGTGGGTTTTCATATGCCGTATTAATACCGAAATGTCGCTGAATCTTTTATCACAAGATTTGCAAGCGTACGGCTTCTCTCCCGTGTGGGTTCTCATGTGGACTATCAAGTAACTGCTCTGTCGGAACTCTTTCCCGCATGTTTTGCAGGTGAACGGCTTCTCACCTGTGTGGACTCTCGTGTGTTTCGCTAAAACCGAAAGCTCGCAAAATCGTTTCCCGCAGGTCTTGCAAACGTGCGGCTTCTCCCCCGTGTGGGTTCTCATGTGGACTTTCATGACGCTGCTGAGGCGGAAATCTTTCCCACATATTTTGCAAGTGAACGGCTTCTCACCCGTGTGGATGCTCATGTGCCTTCTCAACACCGAGAGGTCGCTAAATCTTTTGCCACAGGTCGGACAAAAGCACGGCTTCTCACCAGTGTGCACGCTCATGTGCCTTTTAAGTACCGATAGGTCACAGAACCCTTTGCCACAGGTGTTGCAAAGGTACGGCTTTTCCCCCGTGTGGGTCCTCTGGTGCCGTTGCAATTTGGACATGCATGAAAAATCTTTACCGCACGTGTCACACTGGAAAGACCTTTTACCTGCGTGTGTGTCAGGGTGGATTTCTGGCAAGTTAGAGTTGTATACATTGAAAACGTGACTCAAGCTGGTCTCTGGTTGTTGCTCTTCATTTCTTGTCAACTCAAAGTCTTGAAACTGATCCTCTTCCTGATTCTGGCTCTTCACGTCACGAGAGCGGTCCACCTGGCGTACGTTCAGATCTGCCTCACCGTGGTCACTTTCATCATAAGGAGGGTTAAAAATGAAGGTGTCAATCTCCTGTTTCAGTTCAAGCTGCTTTCCTTCCTGACTGCTGGATGTTTCCTCCTCTTCTTCTTCTTCTTCTTCTTCTTTAATCTGTGGAGGCTGTGGATCCTCTTGGTCCAGACTGGACTTCCTCTCCTGGTTGCAGAGCCGCTGCTTAACGGGACCCTCCTCTGTACTGACATGCTGCTGTGGGAGCTCTGTGGGGGGGATGAAGGACACAGACAATACGATACAACAGCGATAGTCATTTTTTTTTTCTTCTCCCTATTGAGTGTTGTAAGAACCTTACGTTTTACTCACCTATTCTGTTCAACTTTATTTCGGGGTTCAAAACGACACCCAGCAGTCTGCGCTGACGGTCCATCTCTCCCTCGTACTCGACGATTATTCGTTCAAAAACCACGAATATTTCTTCAGCAGCAGCGGTCAGCCGCTCGCTGACAAACTGTCTCAGGTAATCAACCGATGACATTGTAGTAATACATGAACACAACCACGATAACACCACGATATCGCCCTCTACTTGAGTTGACGTTTGCTCTGAGGCAAAAGGTTTTTTTTTTTTTTTTTTTGTTTACTTCCGCCTGGTGTCACACTGTTAAATTCCGTCAGAGGAATGTGGCGGGACTTTTCGCTTGAAATGATTCAGTGTATTTAAGAAGTGAGTGTTTATTACTGGCACTCTAAGTAATAACCATTTGTTACTTCTCTCATTTGATGTCCTAGCTTTAATTAAAAAAAAAAAAAAAAAGTAAGCAGTTGAGGAAAATGACGTTAACAATAAATGTGTAAATCTCGTGTTTCAATTCAAGCTGCTTTCCTTCCTGACTGCTGAAATACATCACTACACCGCGGTGACACTACAATGTAATGTAATTGCTTCATTTGACGTTTATTAGTTTTGCTTTGTTTACTTCCGCTTGGTGTCACACTCTTAAATTCCGCCAGTGGAAAATGGATGAAAGTGTTTATTACTGACACTCTTCTCGCATTTCTTGTTTGAAGTTATCTTTATTTCTCTAATTATACTTTATAGGTTGTTTTTGTTTTATAAAGCAGTTGAGAAGGATGGCTCTTCTCTGCACTCAAGACAGACACAGCTGCATGTTTTTTTTCTGATCAGTACAAGACAAGGGGGTTTCACACACACACAATCTCATTTCTTTTGATAGAATTGTAAATCCATTTTGGACTTCTTAGACCTCAAACTGTGAACTACTAATGTATGGCTTCATACAATTAGTTGCAGAATTTCAATGATTAACATTCAGAGTCATTTGTAAAGCAAAAATGCAATACTATTGTCTTTCTGTCATCACATGTCCGATACTCACATTTAATGGGTCTTCTTGTATGGAAATACTCTAGTTTTTGTCACAACTTAATAGAATATCTGAATTTAAATTCAAATTTATCCTGAGCTGACACATACAGATGTGGAAAAACAACCATAGATATCACGCCATTGACGACAATCAATTGATAACATCATTGACTTAACAGCTTCTTTTTTTTTTTTTTTACACTTATTCCAGGCAAATATTATAGAAATAGTGTTACTACCAGAAATAAAAGTTAATCAATATAATTGTGAAAATTCTATTATTCTGATATTGAGCACTAATCTTTGTAAAAAAAAAAACACACACAAAAGTTAACACTGAACAAAAACATTAAAATGAACAGTACTTATCCCCATGGGTGTTGGGTTTCTAACCAGTATGGGTTTTCATGTGAACATTCAACGTGCTAGCCTGCTTGAAGCCTCTTCCACATGTTTTGCAGATATATGGTCTCTCTCCGGTGTGGTTTCTTATGTGGACTTTCAAGGAACTGCTCTGTTGGAAAGCCCTCCCACATGTCTTGCATTTAAACGGCTTCTCACCGGAGTGACTTCGACTGTGTCTCGTCAGAGCGGAAAAGTAACAGAATGTTTTCCCGCATGTATTGCAAATGTACGGCCCCTCCTCTGCGTGGATTCTCATGCGCACTTTTAAGCCGTTATCGTGTCTGACATCTTCGCGCGGATACGGCTTCTCACCTGTGTGAATTCTTAAATGCCGTTTTAATCCTCCACTGTCACGGAATCTTTTATTGCAGGTCATGCAAAGGTGTGGCCTCTTGCCTTTGTGTGTTCTCATGTGTGATTTCAGTTTTGAATTACATTTCAAATCTTTTCCACAGATTTTGCACAAATGAGCCCTCTCATCTGCTTGAATGCTTGACTGAGGCTGTGATTTGTTCGGTTGTGGCTCAGAGTTTCTTTCTAATCCTTGACTGATTCATGCTCTCTATATTTTTCATCTATCTTTCAGCAACATTGGGGTTGTGAGAGAGGAGACGTTTGTCACTTCTTAGCTTCGGCTGACGTTCCTCGTAAGTAGAAGTCTTCTGCTTCAGTTCAAACTGCTCCCCTCCTGGGTGGCGCAAAGCTCTTCCGGTTCCTCTTTAATCTGCCGAGACTCTGGGTCATTTTGGTCCAAGGTGTAGTTCCAATCCTCCTGGTTGTAGAGCATCTGGTCAGCAGGAACTTCCACCTCCTCTTTGAAGACATGTTGATGTTGGAACTCTGGTGGAATAAACCAAACCAAATTATAACCAAACTGTAGAAGTTAACACTTGCGCTTCAAACCCTCCACAGATGGAGGTTAGTGCTATCAGAGAAGGACCTGAGGAGTTAAAAAAAAAAAAAAGATTTAAGAGGCACCTTCACACAGTCAGAATCCAAAGAAAATACTGGAGCACACGAATCACTTAAGGTCATTTATTTTGGTGCAAAGGACGATTCAATGTGCACTGCGTCCTCTGAGATGGGCGGCTCCCCAACTGAGCAACATGTTCGGCAGTAGCTCAGTCTGTAGGGACTTGGGTTGTGAACCGGAGGGTTGCCGGTTCAAGTCCAAGTTCAAATATGGAAGTTGGTCTGGTAGCTGGAGAGGTGTCAGATCACCTCCTGAGCACTGCCGAGGTGCCTTTGAGCAAGGCACCACACCCCCTCCCCACCATCAGCTCCATCACTCTGGCTTCACTCCATTAGTGCATGTCCATAGGATCCTGTTTCTGCATGTGTGTATATATTTCATATATATATGTGTGTTCATGACTTACAGAGTGAAACTGAAATAAAATAAAAAAGTTAATCTTAATCGATGTGTTCGATGTGTCCTTGGGCAAGACACTTAACCCTGCATTGCTTGCGGTGTATGAATGGATTAGTGTTGTACTTACTCTCTGATGTACGTCCCTTTGGATAAAAGCGTCTGCTAAGTGAATTGTAGAGAGACGCAGTTCACTTTCATACATAAAAAAAACATGCACAAGAGAACAGACAGAAACTGAAAGAAAATGATAAAATCAAGAGGAGAGGTAAACAGGTGTAACACTTAGTTGTCTGTCTTTTCACGTGTTATTTACTCAACATGGTTGTAAATAGGACTGCGTGGCCCCCCTCAATGATCTCACCAGTAAGCTATAAATAAATGTTTGACTGCTTCATTTAAGACGGCTGCACATTTAACAGCACCGAGATCATATGATGAATAACCATGTAAAAAAAAAAAAAAAAAACATGTACAAACCTAATTTGTGTAACTGTATCTTGGGATTTAAAACGATATCCAGCAGTCTGCGCTGACGGTCGATCTCTTCTTCATACTCGACGATAGTTCTTTTAAAAACTCCGAATATTTCCTCAGCAGCAGCGGTCAACGCTCGTTCACAAACTCTCTCAAACAATCCACTGAATACATATTTGCTAATTTGTAATAATAGGGAGACTAAGGTTGTACCGACAGACACATTCAGTCAAGATACTCTACCGCTGTGTTCCGCTGGGTGTTACACTTTTAAGTTCCGACAGTAGGTTGCGCTCAGTGGCCTTCATGCTCTATTAATTGACTCTGCGTCACTAGGGACAACCGTTTCACCGTCTCTATGGGAGATTTCATACCAGCTAAACCTTAAATGTTTACAACACCTAAAGGAAACGGATTCTCCTTTTTTTTCTGCTCCACACATCTGTCCGTTAGATGGAGGTATTTCACCTGCGAGTTGGTTGCCAACCACAAATTACACTAAAGAAGAAGAAGATCAATCCGGGTGGGGAATGTCGGGGGGGAAACATTTCACGACGGCACCATTTCCTGTTTTCTTGAGCAAGCTTGCGTCCTTTTCCCCCGAAAAAGAAGAAGAGCAGACTTGACTGAATGAACATGTTGGGCGATATCAGAGGAACTGCTTGGAGTAATCTTTAGTTTATCGTTTCAGTCTTAAATACTGTCTAAATGGGAGCACATTACTGCGCCATATGTAGGCAAACAACATTTAAAGGTAAGGGACACATCTTCGGGAAACATCACCAAAGCAGACTCAGAGTTGTTCTTCTAAAGTTCTTAGAAAAGGTAAGGTTTGCATATTCTCTTTTTTAAACAGACTTTGTTTTTGTTTATATTGTTTTTTGTCTTACAAACAAGGGGCTGATGAACCAGCAACACCATGGGTACACATGTGACTTATACTCTTATGTTCTTCAACATGCTGATTATATTTTTGTTAAATAGAATAAAATAGAATTACTTTATTGATCCCAAACTGGGAAATTGTGTGTTTACAAGTAGCAGGTTATCCAACACACAATATGAGTAAAAACACAATATTAAAAAATCTAAACATAATATAATATTAAATACAAAGTAAATAAGTACTAAAAATATAAAAACTAAGAATGTGAATATATACAACCAGGATTTAACTAAACATTACTAGTCTTAAATAGGAAGATTAAATATAGAAGATTAAATGTAAATGTGCAAAAACAGAGTTGTAAATGGACAGTATTGACAGTCCTGGAGCCAAGATTAGCCGCAAACTAACGTTTAATGTAAAGTTAATATGTTGTGTATACCTCTCAGTGACACTGAGTGTGACTTCCTGTTAGAATTGTATTGCATTCGTATATGTAACAGTCTTTGCAGTTCTTGAATGTGTTTCCATCTGTTTTGATCATTAGTTGTGCTCCCACTATGGCTGTCTGAACTAAACAAGGACCTTTCCTCCTATTATTATTATTATTATTATTTAATTAAACTATGTTTTTGCAGTCCATGGTAATGTAACTCGTTCAATTCAGTTTTTCCTAGTTTCCTGCTTTATTAATTGTGTACTATTTTTTTTTTTTTGCTTTGATTTCCTCGGCTGTGATTCTGTGACACGTTATCTTGTCTCACTTTAAGCTTATGACAAGTGCAACAATCCTGATATTATTTATTTCATTGATACTTAAAAAGGAGAAAAACAAAACCACAAAGTAAAGCTTCATATTATGGCCAGACAACATTTGACCCTTAATCTGAACCTGAATCAGTTAAAATGAGTGTCTAATTTAATGTCCTGTGTTTGTTTCATCCACTGTCTTCAAGGTGAAAGAAGCTCGCCGAACACTTAAGAAACCCCAAGTCGAGAAGTTCGACTGTACACAACACAAGCAGAAGTTCTGGTGCTACTGCTGTGATCTCGAAGTTGAAAGAAATGTAACAGATGGCAACATGACTGTGCTGTACGGGGGCTTGTTAGAACACATG